AGCCATGAAGTTAACACACCAGGCTGGTTCAAAATTTAAACAATGAATTTTTAACTTTTAATGATACCATTGCATTGAAAGATGGAATAAATGTAACAACTAGGATGAAAAAGGTCTGTTTTCAACTGTTCAGGGCAAAATATGAGCATTTTGCAGTTGATTCTGGATTTTTATTTTTATTTGCAAATCTGAAAAAAATGAAGCGGCGAATCCGTTAACCAAGCAATTAAATTGGTGTGGCCTTATCCTTAAAACCACAATGGTATATAGTATATGTATACATGTATTACGTATTTAAACATGAATGCATTTGCCCAGGGCACACTTTGCTTGCACTAAGATACAAAATAGCCCTAAAAGTTTCTTTTTAAGGGCTAGCAAAGATATTCAACCAAGACGAAAAGAAAACTTCTCTTGTTCTACATGTAAGAACTACATTGTATCATCATGTATGTATACATGAGTACATTTGCTCAGGGCCTTTTTTACTTGCAACTTGATACAAATAAAACTGCCCTGAAACTTTGTTTCTTATGGCTAAGCAAAGATAAAAGAATGAAAGGACCAGGACGAAAACATATTTCTCATCCTCAAAACTATGTATTTAAACATGAACACATATGCTCAAGGCGCGTTTTGCTTTTGCTGATATAGTACACCCTCCCACAATGACTTCAAATTAGCTTCAACCACCATACGTCAAGCTTACAGGATATCTGGAGTACGGGGAGTAAAAAATGTCTCTGCCGGGAGGATCCTGTGACTTATTCAATAGCGAAGATCGTCATGACTCAGGTTTAAACTTTAGATAACCTTCCGTAAGACGATATACAGCGTTCTGGGAGTGCCCCAGGAAGTACGATAAAGTTTGATCAAACAGACCACTCCTGTATATGCGTAGGATGGGCCTATAAATTTGTTCTGTGGCCAGAATTGCCACTTCCTTATTGCTGACCGGAAATGAATATTGCGTTCTCTTTTGACCTATGATATATATATGCATGTAACATTTATATTAATAGTACGAGTCTGTCAGATTTTTTTTCTGTAAATTCACATTCTTTTGCAGTGGTTTTATTTTGCAGCAGGAGGGCCAAGGAGTTTTTTTTTCTTTTGCTCACAGTATTTTAAATTCACAGTACTGAGTAGACAGTATTACATTGAAAGAACCTATTCACAGTGTTATGCATTCGTGGTGGAGAGGTCATTGTGAAAATAAAACTACAATGAAATTTTCCAAGATTTAACGTTACCATCTTGAAATAAACATTTTCCAAGCATGATGTCACAATTTGAAGACCCATTGTAAAGAATGTAGTTAATTGTGACCAATTAATCTGTAACTGAATTTCAGTGATATAATCACATTATTTACTTCACAAATTGTCCGGATTCATAACATTATTTCCCCCCATTGTATTGTAAAGTAATCCCTCATTTTCTAATCACATTAATTCCTTTGACCATTCTTCTAACAATGGCAATGATATCATCATTTAAATTAGATTATCTTCTGTTCATTCAATCTCGAAAATTAAGTAGTTTATCAAGTTAATTTAAACCACAACCTAAAAGCGGAAAGTGACAAAATTCACACAGCAGATAATAGGAAGAAAAGACCACATTTGAGGGAGTTTTTCCTAACAATAGACACAGTTCTATTAATGCAATTGAGCGCAAAGTAATTCGCCTTTCCAAGAAAGGACACTGTTGCTATGCGAGCACAACAAGCCTTGCATGTTAAGGCATGTATTGTGATGATCAGAAACCACGTTTTAAACGTTATCTAGAAGACAAGAAGATGCTCCTAACCTGTATAGACCTCTCCCGGTACGTAGCTCTCCGGCTGCCCCTCTACCTTGATGGCGAAGCCGTTGTCCCCTCGATGTTTGGCCGCTCCGTGTCCGCTCGGGACCCGGTTACAGAAGTTCCCGGGCGACCCGTCGGGGTACCCCCGTACAACCCCGGTCCACCCCGCGGTGACCAGTACGAGCAGAGCCCACGGTGTCCTCCATCCCGCACACATCTTCACATCTCGTGGGATTCGAACCCGTGTCCTCCAGTCTGGCATTGTTGTCAACAGAACAAAAGGCGTTCAGAAAACTGTTCAATTATTCAATTCAGCACCCCACTATGATAATGCGGGCGCCGAGAACAACATTTGGATCATCAAACCAAACTGTTTACTTAAAAGCGTTTGGGAGAAGACAATGAAAACAACAACAAACCAACTCGTGTTTTCCTCCAAATCCCCGAGATTAAAAATCCCATTCGACACAACCCATTGGGCATTCGGCAGGAATTCTGATCATTCCCGCGAAACGGTAGCAGATTTTGCAACAAGCAGAGCTTCGCAAAAAAGTCTTACTGCGAGGGTAAAGGCTTCAAAACAGCTTCAAGTTGTTGCCAAACCTTAAAGAATTTCGTCCAAGACATATTTGAGAGCCTCGGTAGATTTAAGACGTGATAAAAGTGCCCTTAAGAAACAGATGTCAGATCAAGCATGTACGGAAAAACGCTTTCGAATCTTCTGCCACAACACAACGACGGACAGAAAAACTCATCTTAACACAATAGAATATCGCAAGAACAGACTTGAAGAAGTGGACCTAGTCGTACCTGGTTGCTGCGATGGTAAGAAGGTTCTTAAACAGCCCGTTTAATCTAGAGTGGTCCGAACAAAAACTCCGCAAACACAAATTTCTGCTCCACAAACCCGGAAAACCACCTTCCCTCGCTTAGAGAGAGGTCAGAAGTCATTGGACTAGTCCACTCAGAAACGGGGATAAATTTGTGGCACGTGGAAATAAAAATAAATAAATTCAATGCCATTTCAACTTACGTATAACATGGAGGTTTTACCTTCATGCGTATAGCATGTAAAGAAAGTGATTACTTCGTACTTTGGTCACTTTTACTCTTTTTAATCTCATAACCATGCACATATTTCAGGGACAGTGCGGTATGCATGTATCATGTACAATGTAGGAAAAAAGTAAAACGTTTTTTATTCTTTGTCATTTCCTCAGACGACACAAGACCACGTGATGATTTATAATTATACAAGCAATGATTTTAAACCTCCTTGATACAAGTAACTTCCTAAATCTGTAACGTCAAACCGATCGGTAACGGGCCCGTTACGGTTCAAGAGCGCCGACTAGCAGTTCAAATATTATTGCAGTAACTAATGCAGTAGGCATCAGGGGACTGCAATTATGATACAGATCGCCAGATGTCCCCATTGACACGTGAACTAATGCCTGACTGTTGAAAAGAAGAAGTTAAACTGGTACTCACGACAAAATTCAGCTCAGAGAAGCTTTCAATCTTTCAGGTGGCACCCGCCATCTTTCTTCAGCTCATAAGAGGGGTCACGTGACCTAGGTGTCAAAGGTCAGCCAGGTCACGTGACTGGACGAGGGAGTTGCAGATAAAAAAAATCTTTTGGATTGGACCTGTCCAAAATTACGATCACTGCAATGAAGCACTCATGTTACATCCTTTGCGCCTAGCTGAAGAGGAGAATGCAACTTAAACTTCAAGTCACCATCCCTTATAAAAACATCACAATTTAAAAAAAAATAGTAACCTTAGTATCTGGTCTATATTAAAAGCCCACCTTGTTTTCCTTTTACACTACTCATCTACTAGTATTTCAGCTCCCCCAAAATAATTGAAGAAACTCTGATGGCAATCAGTACTTTAATTCTGTTTAAGAACAAATGACGATAACCATCCCAAGTGATGTATAGTTGGCATCAAATATAGTAGTACATTTCATACTCTTGATAATTATAAGCACAAATTTTTGATAAAATCAGCATCCTTTGTACATAATACCATTTTCTTCTAAATTACAGGCACTGCAATGTTATGTTACTCTATCTACAAAAAAAAGTGTGAAGTATGCATACTAGTCAACTAGCAGTGTGCCGACACTATTGGCCCAAAGTAGTAGTCGTCTTTTAATTATTAGCAAATGGCAAAAAAACATATCAATTCAAAACTTATTGCCTTCATTCATAATAGTTACAGAACACAACTGTGAATTATACCTCATATACCTTAACAGATTTAACGTGATATTACTGCTGCATGGTCACAAATACATGTACTACCATTTTACATGTAGTTACATATTGTAAGAGTCAATTTCTTAAAAATGATATACTCCATTACATGGTCAAGAAATACAATTACACTCATCCTTTCATACATATACATGTAATTATATCTGAAGTAAGCAAAAATCATTACAACTTGTAATGCCTAAAATCGATATATAATACAAAACTACAGCATTTGTTTTCAGCAATACTTTGTCCAAAACTAGCTCTCTGAATACAAAATTAATTTAGTACATCTTTTCTTCTAATAAACAAATTCAATATAAAATTTATGACTCTCCTGTTGTTTGAGAGTCTACCATTACATTTATTTCATAGTTGTGTATCATAGGCTTCTTGCATTATAGACAGTCATGACTGTCAATCACAATTAACAGTTCAACCAAAGAGAGAACAGCAATTATTGGTTCAAACAATTAAAGAATGGCAATTACCAGTTCAACCAATGAGAGAACAGAAATTGGTTGTTCAACCAATGAGAGAATGGCAATTACCAGTTCAACCAGAGATTGCAATTACCAGTTCAACACATGAGAATGGCAATTACCAGTTCAACCAATGAGAGAAAAGCAATTAGTAGTCCAACCAATGAGAGAATGGCAATTAACTGTTCAACAAATGAGTGAAAGGTAATTTAACAGTCCAACCAATGAGAGAATGGCAATTAACCGTTCAACCAATGAGTGAAAGGTAATTAACAGTTTGACCAATGAGAGAGTGGCTGCACTGGTCTATTATGACATGGGTAGCTGGTGGGCCGCGGCATACCGCCCATAGACATGGTGGTACAGCTGACGCTCGATGTCGGTCAGCAGTCCGCTGGCGCCGATGCGGAACATGGACGGGTGTGTCCACTCGTCTCCCAGCTCCTCCTTCATCAGAGCCAGCCAGGTGCAGGCGTCCTTCGCGCTACGGATGCCCCCTGCTGGTTTGAAACCGATCTGCAGGGAAGAGATAAAAATGTCTACAACCACCAGATTCAAATCTACAAAATTCTTTTCTTGACAATTCCCTGCTTTCGATATTTCTGACATATCAAATGCATTCTTTGCAAATACGCACAATGAGCAATGGATGACAGTTTAATGTCCTAAGGACTGCAACCCTTTCCAGTAGTAAAGTGAGCTACAATAGCCGGGATTCGAACTCACAACCACTTGGTCCAGATGCTGGGTAACTTAACTACTGGATATGCTATGCACACCCCTTACTAATTTAGCTTAATGATACAAACCATATAATAAACTAGAATATTACTACCAAAAGAAATTGTTTTTGGCAAAGTGTTACAGTATATAGTATATATGTAAAACTTTGTGTTACCTTGTAGCCAGTTCTGTGGTAGAAGTCCCTGATAGCCCTGCACATGACCACTCCTACAGGCAGAATGGCGTTCACTCCCTCCTTCCCAGTGGAGGTCTTTATAAAATCTGACCCTGTACAAAACATTTACAGAGAATTTTACTCAAAATCAACAAGAAATCAGACATTTCAGACTTGCAGGAAGTATTGGAGGGTTCTTTGATCAATCTTGGCTTCCTGAATTCCCCCATGTTGTGTTCTAATTCCTGCTTACTTCCAGAAAAAGCCATTTCCTGTGTCTGACCTTTTGACCTGTCATTCTATCTGTCAATCTTCCCCACCCACATCTGTCAACCTACTGTCTGGACAAACATACATACAAACCCACAGCTCAGCCAGCCAATAACTACTAAATCCTAACTATTACTAACTACTCAAGTATATGAAATGCTCATAGACATCTCGAGTAAAAATTATTCTTTGTAAGATGTAAAATAGAAAAGTATCATTAGCATAAAATTACATAGAATAAGATTGAAGGTATCCTACCTGCCATCATGGCCACCAGTGAGGCCTTGTAAACGTTGGTGAGAGATCCCAGTTCTCCTGTAGCCAGGATAGTCTTCAGGTGAGCCTCTCCGCAGGCTTCTCTGAAGGCCTTCACTTCATCATACACTCCTACAGCACACATCCAAACAACAATGAAGACTTGTACATGTTAGTCTCTCCTCAGGCTTCTCTGAAGGCCTTCACTTCATCATACACACCTACAGTACACATCCAAACCACAGTGAGTATTGCTACATGATAGCCTCTCCACAGACTTTTTGAAGGCCTTCATTTCATCATTAACTCCTACAGTATATGAGGTATAAACCATTTAGCCTCTCAACAGGCTGAAGGCCATAACATCATGTTACAGATAAGTTGACTTCCCGATCTGTAACATGAACTGTTCATGTTACAGATCTAGAAGTGACAGTGAAAACAGTGAACATAAAAGTACTGTAATTAAAACATAAAAGTACTGTAATTAAAACATAAAAGTACTGTAATTGTGTGTAAAATCATTTTATATTCGCGGTACCAAATTTCGCAGTCTGAGAAAAATGGACATGTTACATGTTCGTGGAACTATATGTTCACGGTGGCAACACTCTGGTGCAGAAGAAAGTCGGCAGCTTGTTTGTTTATAATAATTATAAATTCGTGGTACAGAGGTGACCGTAAAAATGCGAATATAAAAGTAAGTGTGAATGTACAGTGATTTACAGTGCTGTGAAAAAGTCAGGAGTAACAGTATCCAGACCTTGCCAGTCGCCACTGAGAGCCTGAGTCCTGCTGATGACGATGTCGATCTCCGAGGCTCCTGCCAGGACCGCGTCTCTCACCTCCTGTAGTCTAGTGGTCAGCGGGTACTGACCGCTCGGGAAACCTGTCGCAACTACGCAGGACACAGGAGAAAAGGTAAGGTGTGTAACCCATATCATTGTATAAGAATATATGTATCTGTATAGCCGGTATAACCACCTTTCCGCGTAACACACCAGCTTCGCAGGCACGCAGTGCGGCGGCAGCTGGCTATATTACACCGATCAACTTGTTACACCTAACCCTTGAACTTCTAGCTCTAGACTTTGTTTAAAGCTATCCAACGACAATGCCCCTACTGTACTTGGTGACAGTGAGTTCCACTCTGCGATAGTTCTAGGAAAGAATGAATTCTTGAACACCTCAATCCTTGGTTGATAACTCTGGTACTTGAAGGCATGGCTATTTCTTGTTCTCTTCTGGGCTGGTATTAGGTACTTAGTAGTTGGTACATCCACAATATCACAATGCAGAACATCAGACTCACAGACCATCCGCCTTCCAAAACCTCGAGAAATAAAGTTCATTCATTCATTTAAATTGTCGACTTCAAACAAGCTCTTGACACACATACGCCAGGCAAGCTCTTCCCCTTTGCCAGTCAATGAACCTTATGTGGTACCTCTCCCCTTAACACCTACCAGAAGCCACAGGTATGTTTGCTCCTGCCTGTTTCAGGTACTTGACTGCCTCCTTCACTCTGGCTGGGTACACACACACAGCTCCTGTAGTGATACCTGGATACAAGCACAACATTCCATGTCTTAATATTCTATGGATCATGCTTTGGAAAGCCGAACCTAGTCATACAAGACTACAAACACGAATGCAATTTATAATATATGTCGATGAAGTCTATTGCTTTTACATCAGTGTGCATTTCCCTTAAATTTCTTGTGTATATCCCTTGCTGATTCTATATTACATGTATATCTATTTTCCCACTGTCTCCCGTAAGGCAACAGAAAGAAAATAGCAGAAAATTGAAAATGACAAATTCTTTTCGAGGACCTTTGACGTAACTGTCAGTGTCACTGGCATGCCTAGCGTGTGGAAATAACTTCAGAAACAGAAGCAAACACACACATACACATTTCACAGTGGGGTTTAAGCACGACCAACTGACCAGTCAAACAGCTTTTGGGTTTGTGGTAAGTGCGCTGGGTTAATGAGCTGGAAGCCAGAAGACTGTACTACTTGCAGTCTTCATGTTTCACACACAGCAAAAGCAAAAACATTTAGCCTCCATATACGGAGGAAATAATATAATTCCCATCCAGTTGTAGTACCTTTATCCTGCATGTTGACAGCCTTGAGTAGGTCCTCCCTGACAGGATGATGTGCCTTATAACACAGTCTCTGGACGTTAGCCGGGGTGTCATCACCAGACAGGGTCGTCAGGTCAATACAGGTCACCGCACGCAGCAGCCACGATGCCTGGACAAAGATATGATAAATAAAAACACATTTTAATGATCATGTTTTTAGGGTAAAACGTTGCCAGAGGTTTGTGTGGGCATTATCCTTTTTTAAATGTGAATTCTTCAAAGCAATTTTTAGATTTAGATTAAATAAAAGACTATAAATGAGTTTGGGAGGCTAGCCTTTACTGAATATCTTAAGTCTCTTGTTTACTTCCACTGCTCATAAACATTGTTAATATTGATAACTGATTATACTTATTATGAACTGCTATTTTTCTGCTAATTATATATATATATATATAATTGCTGTATTGCAGGTTCATTAGTAACAAAATTTAAAGAAGAAGAATACTAGCGCTTGGGCAGTCACATCTCTACATAATATTTCACATTCACAGTTTTTTACAATCCAAATTAGAGTTTGACTCAAAAGTTGTAAGGCTTAAAAACCACCAGTTCTTTTCCACAATTCCAAGACAACAGTTCATAACACAATGTGTTTCCTAACCTGCCATTTCTTCTTGACAGTCCTGGTAGTAGACAGGTACTGTGCCCTGCGCAGGGTAGCTGGCTGGTTCACTCTGACGGACTGGACCCAGCCGAGGTCTGAAATAGTATAATGTTATTTTCGATACATGTAAACTTGTAGTCACTGTAGACGTGAGAGTAGATGTTAGCTAGATATGTAGTACTGAAGAGTTTGCCATGCATTGTACCCATTACAATATTGTTGTGCAATAAAGATTGACTTGACTTGATTTTAAAAAGCAAGCATGTCAGTCGATACTAGCTCCAAGTCCAATTATCAGTTGGTTTTAAAAAATTCAGCAAAAATTGCATACAGCAGCAATTTATTGATGACAAGAAATGGAATAGCCTTTGATAACCTATTCAAGGGACCTTCATGGGACCTTTGACCTAATTTCCTGCCAGTGTATCTCCAGAGCCCTAGCATGTGGAAATGTGTGGAAACACACACTGACATCCAAACAAACACACGAATAACAAAATCTCCGAACATATCGTTTGATAACAACGCCAAAATGCATACTGAAATCAAATCCAAAATTTGCAAAGTTGCATAATCTGGCAGCTTTCACTAAAAATATGTTCAACTTCAAGCAACAAGAAAAACCTTCCTAACTCTACTAAAACTGTACAAATCTCACCTAGCTCTATACCAGGGTTCCTACAGGCCATGTCTGTAGTGTAGAGCAGGTTCGATCCCTGCAGGGTCCTTCTGTTTGAGTTTAAAGTGACCTGCCAAGTTCAGGTGAACTAAACTCTCGCCTTGCCGCCTTCCTCTAACCTGTCAACAAGGAACACTTAACTCTGACGTCATTAGGCTATTTCAGCAGCTTTCGCTGTACCTGGATCAGCGTTTTGTTACGATTTTAGATCCCAAAACTTCGTTCAACAAGACCCTTTGTTGTGTAAAAATAGAATACATTTCTTTTCGTAAACATTTAAATGACTGTTAGCGAAATTTGAAGGGACAGTTAAGCGATAGAAGAACTCTTCGAGCAACGTCAAACTCTCTAACACCCTCCAGTTAGGGTCCCTCAAGGGATAAACCGTTTATCTACAGGGGGCGGCGTAGTATAATGGTTAGATAACGCCTCGGCACCTGATTGGACAACAAACGGTTTATCCCTAATCACCTAATCACATGATCAAATCACTTACACCCCCTTTGATAAAAAGCAAACGCTTCTGCTCTCAAAAGAAATCCACATTATTCCATTAGAAAGTCCATCTTTGACCATTTAACGGAATAAATGCATTTACAGTATATATTTAGTGTCGATTGTCATCTTTTTGAAGATATATTGATTATTCTTCATGTTGTTATTTTTTGCATTTTGATGCGTTTGTATGCGGTTCCCACAGCTGGTCAGAAAGAAGCCACGAAGCGTGAAAAAGACCTTTGATCAACTTGAAGCTGCTGTTTGATGATGCAAGCCGGCAAACTCTCCGTAAGCCACCGATCCTTACATCTACCTCTCCACAACCCTAATCCAACCTCGTAATCCTAACCCTAATCCGTTTATCCTAAACCGTTTTTCTAAACGACGCCTTCTTACCGTTTTGTGTGTCGGTGACCTTTGAACTTGCAAAAGGAGGAGGGGGTTATTTCCGGTATTTTGGAGTTCTCCTTCTTTTTCCTCTTCAAGTGACATTTTGTGACGATTTCTCCAGTTTTTACAATATCACATCTTTGCAGATTATCTAGAGGAATACGTTGACGATTTTTCGGATAATCCAGGTGACGTGAGATTGATTTTTAATGTTTTTTTAGAGGTGTCAAAACTGAGAGCGTTATAGTTATACGCAGTTGCTACGGTGGGCGGGGCGGAAGTGAGTTTATCAAACACTTTGTGCAAAAAACGTGGTTCAAGGAGACCATAAAAGTGATCAAACATGTGCACATGTTCGCAGTATTCCTCAGCAAACTGTCTACGATCTTAAAATCGTCCCAGACATTTTAGTAACGATATTGGAGTGAATTTAAGTACCGGTACTCCGAAATATACCCCGTTACACTTGCAACTATGACGTTGTCCCGTTAGCTATGGTACAAAATTTAAACAGAAATTTTATCAGAATACTGTGACATTTTTTGGCCAGTTGCACTTCGATGATATGTTTGTGGACTGAAATAGATACATTATAACTATGCAGAGGTGTTTATTTTGGGCTGTTTATTTGACCATCATCACAGAGACACATCTTCAACTTAAGGGTTAGTGTCATAGTTTGTCAATAAATTAATTTGAGGTTATGAATCCAAGCAGATGTTAGGAGGGGTCTTAGTTTCTAAAATTCTTGGTGCTTGCTTATGTCAAGTCATGTTTTTTCTGGTATCGAGTAGCCTTACTGTCATTTTTTCTAACTTCAAACTAAGCCACCAACCAAGTGCCAACATGTGTTTTACATTATTGCAGCATCTCTACACTACAGACGGAAATGTTTTAGACTGTACTGAGAAAATCGAGTTGTAAAGGAACTGTACCTTCCTGTTTTTGTGCTGTGAAGTCATAATATTATGAGACTGACTGAAACTGAAAAAGAGAGACAAAAAAGATTATGTACATGTATTTGTATTTATCTGCAAATTATAATACCCGGTACATGTAGTTTTGTATTGCCATTAGGGTCTTTAACATATTTCCATATGCTACGTATAGTATGCATGACCGATAATGGCCCAGCATGGTTTGGTCTACATTTGTGTACCTAAGGTCATCATGTCAAATTCCTCAAATGATACTGGCAATTTATCAAATCCAGATTGTGTTATGACAGACAGTTTGGTGGTATGTCTCTAGAGGGAAAGGCATTTTATATCACAACACTGAGCCTCCTTTCTCTGTTGATGATGCAAATTTTTGACACTGCGAATCGAAGATTTTGCATTGCTTCGTATGATTGAATTTCACTTGTGTATATGTGTGTGTGTGTGTGTGTGTTACAGTGTGTTTTTGTTTGTGTGTGTGTGTGTGTGTGTGTGCATGTGCTATATCTGCATGTAAGGTATAGGGGAGCAATTACATATCCTTGATTGCATGAGGGATACTCCCTGTATTTTGAAATACAAAATGTATTTGCCCAAATATGCACTGGCCCCAAGCTATTCTAAATGAAGAGCCCTTGTGTACCCTACTGCATATATTTGCATATATTATGGTCAAGGACACCTTTCCTAGAATTCAATACTTCGGAAAAGTACCTCATACATATGCAAGCACACGTGTAGTCTTTCCGAGGCTGATTCTACATATATTAAGGCATACAATTTATATGCTCTGTAAATTTAATAGAAATTTAAGTGTCTTCCTGTTAAAAGAGATTACCATTTATGTTACATGTAGGCGCATTTGGTAGATGTATCTGCTCTCCATTTCATTTTTTTTTCTAATGTAAGTTGTAACTTTATGTTTTGTCCTCTTATTTTATCAGGTACAGAAACCATTGACCGAGGAGCCATTTTAGTGAGTTGGGCTTCCTTAGAAGTGTGTGCAGTTTTGACCTTGACGTACCAACTCCTCAAGGTCGTACCGTGGACAAAAAAAAACGGAAGCAAGAGTGTCGCACCCTTTGTTTCAGCACCGTCCGACAGGACCAGATGTTCCACCGTTTTTTCTGACAGGATGGGAAGAAGGTTAACCTTTCAGTGTGACATCAACGTTGGTCAGAGACCATGGAAAATTTTCAAAGGTCGATTTGCACCATAAAGTCATGACTGTAGTATTCCATGGACATGTCCATCCACATCTAGTTTATAGAGAAGTCTACGTGACTTGTACGTGAAGTTTTAGGTGATAAACAAGGTGAGAGTACAGTAAACAAGACAAGAAAGGTCTGAAGGAGAGGTGGAACGCAGGTTAAAGCCATGAGTACGGATGAAGGTGCCAAAAACGGGGACGCAGCCTCAGGAATGCATAGAAGCGGTAGCGACAATGTTCTCGTGAAGCCGACAGTACACTTTCAGGTCGAAAACTGCGAAGAAACGGAAAACCAGCCTGAAAACGGCGCGGTCGAAAGCCCCGAACACGAAGAGGACTCTGTGGAAAATGGAGATCACGCGTTTTCTGATCAGGAGGAGGGTTCGCCTGTGAGGCCAGAAGGACAGGGTCTAGCGGCAGAAGCTCCACGGATACGCAGTCCGTCTGTGGCAGAAGTTAAAGGCAAGGCGTATGAGAGATTACAGGAGGAACTAAGTCGTGCACAACAGGTACTTCCAAGAAAATCATCAAGTTGTCTACTTTTGTAGCTCTTCTACCTCATAACGTCTGTGTCCATAATATCACCAGGGTCCATAATATCGCCACGTTGAGAAATAGTATGCTTAAAGATATTTTTACTGCAACATACTTTTGGTATGCACTCCTTCACACATCAAATGTACATACCTAGGGTATGTTGCAGTAAAAATATCTTTAAGCACACTATTTCTCAAGGTGGCGATATTATGGACCCTGGTGATATTATGAACACAGATGTTACAATGTAGGTTGAGAAAATGGAATGCTCTAATTGTATTGTTTTGATCTCTGTGTACAATGGTTTTGCTTTTGTTTGAATTTTTGATTGCTTGTTCATGTGTATCAATGAGAAATTCACACATAATGAATAAAAGCTAGAAATCAACAATTTTTTATTCTAAATAGTTCACTCACTCACTCACTGTCCGGTTTATCGTCTGTTGTTCCCCGTCTTCCGAGGGTTAGACGTGCTTGCACAATACATCTGGGGCTTGATGGCAGCACGCCACTTGTCTCTGTCCTGTGGGTTGATTTTATCTAAGTTCAGGTGGTGGAGGTCCTCCCGTTCAGTTCACACTTAGGTAAAATCAATTTGAATTGTTTACCACCAATTAGAACTCGAATTGTTCATTATATACATAACTTGTTTTTTGTCCAAAGGAACTTCTGCTGAAGGATGAAGAGTGTGAAAAGTTGTCTCGTGTTCGGGACCAGATCGGACAGGAGTTGGAAGAGTTGACAGCCAGCTTGTTTGAGGTAAGTAACATTTTGTCCTACATTCCTAAAAGGTTATTGATACCAACCAAGGATTGAGGTGTTCAAGAATTCATTCTTTCCTAGAACTATCGCAGAGTGGAACTCGCTGTCACCAAGTACAGTAGGGGCATTGTCATTAGATAGCTTTAAACAATGTCTAGAGCTAGAAGTTCAAGGGTTAGGTGTAACAAGTCGATCGGTGTAATATAGCCAGCTGCCGCCGCGCCGCGTGCCTGCGAAGCTGGTGTGTTACGCCGAAAGGCGGTTATACCGGCTATACAGATACAGATACAGATACAGATACGTCTTGTTGATACATCCTATGGATATCACAATTTTGTTGTTTTAATAAAACTTTTTATACTATTATCATATTGTTAAAATGATATGCAAAAATTGTTTGATTATGCCAAATATGAAGCTATTGTTTGTACTGTTCTTGGTTAAACAGGAGGCCCACAATATGGTCAGAGAAGCTAATGTTGCCAGAGCATCCGCAGAGAAAAGGCTGAAGGAGGCCAACAGTAAGGTAAGAAAAAATTTGGGTCGATAAGTCTTTTAATCAAAACTACTAGTATATCCTGAGCATTAATGAAATCCCTGATGTCATGTACATGTTCTAACTGCAAATTTATAGGTGAAAACACAGTGAAATCCTCTTTCCTCCTTTTGCAAAAAAAGGATAAAAACTCCCTATGAAAATAAGTGAATTTACAGTACTGTGCCTACAATGCTAACAAGAATGGCTACGAAAACATACATTGCCATGGCGACGGTGGTTGCTGTTATTTCATGTGACAGATACAGTGCACTCCTCCCCTGAGTGTACATGTATAGTGAACGAGCTCCATTGGCCAGGGTCACAGAAAGTAGGGCCATCCGGGGCAGAGAGGTCTTCCCAAGGATTTCCAGGAATGTGGGCATAGATGTGGGTCAGAGAAATGCCTGTGGACATTCCGCATGCCTGTGGACAAAATGCCTGTACAATTCCTAGAATTCTTGCGAACTGCACACAATACTGTACCATTAGGCTCCTCCCTGAGACGTCGCCAAAAATTCTTTCTGTTCCGGTGTTTCTCCTCAGATTGACATGCTGCAGGCGGAAGTGGAGGCCCTGAAGACCCTGGTCATCACGTCCACTCCCAGCATGCCTAACCACCAGCACCACCCGCAGCTGCAGGCGCCCGCCAAGTCCGGCATCACGGCCGCGCACTTCCAGACTCACAAGCGCTCCACCAGCTTCGAACCGCAGACCGCCAAACAGAAACAAGCGGCGGCCGCCGCAGCTTCAACACCACAGGACAGCAAAGACCAGGAGGAGGTTGAGGTATTTTAGACCTGTGCCTACTAGTAGTGCTATAACTCACTCACTCACTGTCCGGTTTATCGTCTGTTGTTCCCCGTCTTCCGAGGGTTAGACGTGCTTGCACAGTACAACTGGGGCTTGATGGAGAGGGGTCTGCACTAATTACCTCCATGGAGGTAGCTCCATGGAGGTCATTAGTGCAGGTCCTATTGGCAGCACACCACTTGTCTCAGTCCTGTGGGTTGACCTTATCTAAGTTCAGGTGGTGGAGGTCCTCCCGTGAACTATAACTAGTTCCAAACTTGTAAACATGTTTAGGCTCAAGCTAAAAGAAAAAAAAACTGAACGTCTGGAACCAGTTTCAGACTTACAACAAAAAAAATCACATTTCAAACCACCTGAAATCTTCAGTAGTCAAAAATTTGAGCTGCAAAATGAAGAAAACATCGCCATTGGGTGTCATCAAGTGTCGGCCTCCGTAAATTATGTGGCCACAGTTTTGCCCAGAAGGTGCCCCCCAAACAACATAACCCTGGTAGTGTAGTGCTTGCTAAAAAATTATGCGGTAAAAATGCCCCATTTTCCATTACAAAATGTTAACTGAGACCTTTTTTTTATTCAGTCCCTCCCATATTTTAATAAGTCTTACAACAAAAAAGGATTTACAAGTTAGAAAAGTTCTCCATGTTTTGTTTTGTTTTTTGTTGTTGTCTCTCAGCTGGACCCAATCCTACACCAGGAGTTCATGACCTGGCGGAAGAGTCCAAGTCTGACGAGGGATGTGCCGTTTCTCGCCAGGATATACAGCGAAGACATCTTACCCTGTCTGGAGTTCAAGAACGCGGAGGTGAGGAGAACAGAAACCATCATCAAGTGACAATAGATTCGGAATAGCAATAGAATAGTAGAATAAACTGGTTCACAGTTTGAGTTGTGCATCTGCCGTGTGATGCACTGTGGGTAATATGTAAAGTTGAAGGCCCTGGCAATACAAGAAATCAGAGATTTCTAACTTCTGGGAAACTTCCTGAATTCCAGCTGGATCCCGGCGAGATTCTGTTTGTTTGTTTGTTTATTTTTTTGTTTATTTGTTCCAGTTGGCTGCAGCCGTTCAAGAAGCAGTAGAGAACAACACACTGTGTATAGAGCCAATAAACGGGGTGTCGTCATTTCCAAGGTCAGTCCAATTCGAATACAGTACATATTGTACCTGCAAAACACTTGTGGTGATACATTTTTTAGACTACAGCTAGATAAATCCTGTAATTATATATATATAGTGTAAAGCTAGAATGTAAAGCTGGAGGTCCTGTGTTTGAGGTGAGCCACACCTTGAGCAAGTGAAAGATCCCAACGCACTTAAGCTTGTTGAAAAGAGTACAACATGTACATGTGGGGGGTCCTTACAGGTGTGAGTGGTTCAAACCTTACACTGTCCAATCTTTCATATAGTCTTACATAACCTACTGATATATACTGGTACAAAACTGGTCTGTTATGCCTAAAGGTGGTTTAACAGTTAATGTGAAACAAACAAACAAAGAAACAAACCAACATGCAAGCTCTGTTGTGTCCCACAGGTTATGTGCCCTGAGTCAGGTGACCAAAGTTTGTAAGTACAGACTGAAACTGGAGAATGATGACAAGACTTACAACATCTCACAGGCCACCAGGAATAGGGTAAGGTCTCTTTCTGTCATTTCACTTTAATCACCATAAATTTTCCTTTCTAGTGACTCTGTGTCTGCTATATACAAGTACGGTAATGTTGGCACTTTGTAAGACCATTATCTTTGTGTACCAACTGTAAATTGTGAAATGTTTTTGGTGGTTTTAGTTTTGTTGATTTTTCCTGGTGAGCTCCCACCACAAACTCATGATCATATGTTTTACCCACGATCTGAAAGTGAAACACTGCAAACCAAAACAAAATTAAGTCACCGGCACTTCAACGGGGAAAAGCATAAAGATTACCATTGCAAAGTCTTACTTTTTTAAAAATCTTTTCCTTGTTTCTAACAGATAGCTGCAGTATGTGACTTCATGACGTATATCAGATATATCCAGCTTGGGTTGGTCAAGTCTGTAGGTATGTATACAGATAAACAGTGCTCTAGCTGGCATAGTTTGAGCAAAGAGGCCTCAACACTGTTTTTTAGACCTCCTAGGCTGTATAAAAGCTGTAACAGCTAAACCTTTCTTCCCACTGTAACTGCTTATATAGTAGACATGCTACTACATGTTGGTCATACAAAACTGCTATGTTAAGCCTATTGCTTGCTTGCAGTGATACCTGTTAAGCAATTAAAAAAAAGCTAGATAGAACTACTGCAAGTACTGGTATCATTTTTTGTCTTGATAATGTCTTTTGAGGAGAAAGTGTTTCATTTTGATTTTTTTTGGTTTTATTTTTCCTACAGAGTTGCCAATGTATTTGGAGATTGTTCGGTTGCGAAAGAGGATGGCCCTAGCCAAGCTGGGCTGTCTACAGACAACGGGGTGAAGTCTGCCATCCTCATCATTGTAATGTCCAATATATGGAACAAGAAGGAAGTCACTGGTAGCTTGCCGTTCAGAAATACTGATAGCATTCCGTGGTTTGAGTCAAATCCTTGGTGTAGTGATATAGGCAAAAAATAGAGCGGTATGTTTTGTGCAACACGTGAAACATGTGACTCAAAATGTCAGAAATGTTCATCAGAAAAGACTCTTACTTCTCAACACAATTAGCAAAGCAATTATGGTCTTTTTGAAGACGTTTCTGGTTGGGAAGGTGACAGAGTACATTTAAAATGGCAGTGTAGCAGCTAGACTCGAGAATACATTTAAACTGGCAGTACAGTTAAAATGGAAGTGTAACAGCTGGTCAAGTCAAGACTCATTTATGTGCAGAATGAGTTGGTTCATGGTTTGAACTGTGCATGCACAAGGTCAAAGGTGAAGGTCAAGGTCACTAACTTGTAAACAGTTCTTATGTCCAGATGTGTTTTGTTTATGTCTTGGGCCTTCAACTCTGAGATATTATCCATGTAATACATCGCACTACCCATGGATAGTTTGAACTGTGAACCAGCGGATAGCTAGAAATCATAAAAGCCTTGCAAATTGTACATGTAAGTCATAATTTTAATTGCTGTTACATGGGCTCGTTCATTTATGTTATGAAAAAAATTACATATATATATATACCTGCTTGTTACTGGCCCTTTATACATGATTGTGCAGCTACTTTTGTAGAAGCAAGAAGCTGAAAATAATATGTTATTGTATGCAGCATTTGAACTGTAAGATACAGTTCAAACCACCAAGAAGCCCAAGAAATTTTCCTTATTCATTTAATGTAAATATGTTTATTGTAAATAGGAAAACAAATTTGGTACAGACGTTTGATTTGTAGCCCAGATTGTGAAGGTAGTGATAAAAAGATAGTAGTAATTTTTGTCTATTTTCTCAGTGTTTCTATCCAAATGTATTAAACAAAAAAAACATTGAAATGATACATGTATATTAGCATGTGACTGAAGAAGAGGAAAAATCTCCCGAATTGAGATTATAATTTAAAGCAAGAAATATTGCACGAATAATTTCATGAATGTATTCACAGAACCTGTTTCCTTTTCATTTAAGATTCGTCAACAAATGTATAAATCTGTAGTATTTGGGATTATCGAATAAATGGCAGCCATTTTGAAAATCATGATGTCACCCCACAGCCATCTGTAAGGCTATCTGTGATTGGTCAGTGTCAACTGTTTTAAATATAAACAGTCTCATATTTGTATCTTGTAGTGCTGCATACTGGTTCACTGGACTTGGATCCGGACTTGAAAGAATGTTTAGATTCAAGTCCAAAAAAACCTATAAGTCAAGAACCGAGTCCGGACTTATTACCACAAAAGACCATTTCACATACCCCTTTTCTTTCCAAACCACCTAAAACCTTCCGTAGATTGTAAAATCTTTGCTGCAAAACGAAGAAAACATTGCCATCGGGCATCATCAAGTATCGGCCTCCATGTTATGTGGCCAAAGTTTCACCCAGACAACATTGCAAGGTTGCCAACATGCAATTTTGTATATGCCATGGGTTTAGGTCCTGACTTACAAGTCCGGAACTGAACCTAAACCTCTGGACTTGAATCCGGACCTGAACCTAAAATTGGGTTTAGGTATGCATCACTAGTATCTTGTGCCAATGGTGGCCAGGAATACATTTCTTACCCCGTGCATGTTTTTTGTTCATTTTCTTTTTTAGTAAATAATTTGTGTATGAACTTAATACTAAATGTAGATACCATATTGCAAAAGCCTGCAATTCGCTGGAATCATTATTTTTATTCCACTTGTAATTCAATATCTGTAATCAATATTATATATTGCAAACGCCAACTCTTATGATGATATCATAAATGATAAGCCATACCGTGTAAATAACTTTGTGACTTTATATATAATCAGCAAATAATGTCTTTGTGCCTGTATATGCAATTTGGTTACGTCATGTGAAAAACACCACATGTATGTAATAGAGTTGTTACCATATCCATTATACAGTTAACGTAAGGTGACCAATTTGTAAGAAAATGAAAAATGTAAGTATGATGTCATCAATATTATATACATGTAAACTAAACATTTTACTTTCATCTGTAATTTTTACGGACTCTCTCTACATATACTGTACCATATTTATTATGTATTCAGCCAGCCAAGATTTTGGGACGTAATGAATTGTGTACAGCATATCAATTATGAATCATATTAAGGCCAGTCCTATGGATAGACTGAGTCAAATGTACATGACAGAATGTATTTTGGTGATGTAACAGGGTATAGTAATGTAATTGTGCACGGTGCATGTTCATTGGCCAGTTACTACTGTGATTGTGTAAATTGAGCTCTCATTGGCTGAAAATTGACAAGACGGATAGGAGAAATAGGTTTGCTTTGAATAACAAAATTATCCCTTAAACATAAACCAGAAAAGTTGCTTACTTATAATTGTGGCAGAAGTCATTGTAATGAGTGTACAATAATGCCACCTGTTGATTTGTTTAAGTACTGCAACAGCCTATGTAAAAAAAAGTTGCAACACTGTAAGATAATGTGAATTGAGATTTTTTAAATATCAAGCCCTGCTATCTGCTCCTTGTAACATTTCTTTGAATTTGTAATTAAGAAGAATGTATTTTAATTGAAACTCAGTATTTTGTCAAACTGTTAATATTAATTGCAACTACCCCACTCATCTTAAAAACAACTGCAAAAGACAGTGCTACCTCATTACCAGGTTGCTTCTGTGATAGCAAGTTTCCTGGTCATCTTGGAATGAGGTAGATGCAATACAGCAGTGTATATGTATGAATATCAGAACCTTAGATTGCATTTCATGCGTTATGCATACAAAATGGAAGAAGAAAGTACTAGTATGCAGTACTATTAATGCCAACACGATATAGTGATGACTTCATTTTTAGATCATGGTAGTCATTATTCACGAAATACTAGTACATGGTTGAAATGTAAAATGCATAGTTACAAACCATCATGAAAATTGTGTCCAAACTTCTTTTGCCATGAATTTCACCATTTATAATGAACACTACATTGTACAATGTAGTATCTGCATTACTTTGTTGGTTTTTGCCCATAGACCTGCTATGGTCAAGTAAAAAACATACAAATATTGTATTATTGTATGCAACCATTTCTTGGTTATACTATGTATGCAAGTCAATGCAAGGCAAAAAGACACAATGATTCTTACAAAATCATGTAATGTTAAAATGTATTTGCAGGATGACACAACTTTCAAGATTTTTATGTTGAATAAGTCTTATTAGATGAGCATCATCAATGTAAAAACAGCATTTTAAAAAAATCTTCTATACTTATGATTACAACAGGTTAAAACTGAGACATATTGATATTCTTTGTACATATATGCTAAAACAACTGCCTGTCAATCTTTGGTAACCAGTCCATACAACCAATCTATATCCAGACCATGTGCCAATAAAATCTGTGTAGATATACAAATATTTGAATTGATTGTGTTATATCTTACATAACAAACTTTTAACTGTCATATTTCTTGAGTACATACATTATTAATTTTACAAATGTAGGTTTATAACCCTGAATCATATGTCTACACTTGTATGTACAATTTGTTGCTTTTTTATCATGATTTCAAATTCAGTAATAAGAGAAAATAACTTCCTTGGCAAAGGTGTAATTGGTAAAAACAACAACATTTTGTATGCTCGCCTTATAACGTATCATTTGCATATTCAGTAGTAAGACAACAAAACTTTTCACCAATCAGTTCACTTTACTAGGTACATTTGCATATTCAGTAGTAACGTTTCACCAATAAGCTAGCCGTATAAGGTAGCATTTGCATATTCACTAGTAAGACAAACTTTTCACCAATGAGCTCGCCTTATAAGACACTCATTTGCATATTCAGTTGGAAGATAACGTTTTCTACGAATTAGCTCGCCATATCAGGTGGGCTAGCCCCTGTAGACACAGGAATGGCTGCCGTAGAAGAAATGGCGTTTGCGCGCGGGGTAGGTCAGACCATCGCGTAGGTCTGGGACGGTCTCAGGACAGGACGCAATAAACCTGCAAAAAAAAACAAGAAATCGGAGATTTTTAAGACTTTTTAGAAGTCGGCTTCCTGAATTCCCCCCATGATGTCACTGGCTCCTGCATGCCCAGATTCTGAAACTTTTCACTTCTTTTTGATGCCATTCTGCCTGTCAACGTTATCTAACGTTATAGATGTAAAATACATGATATAATGTTACCTGACTGTATATATATTATGTACATGCAGTTTTGAATAAAGTTTCATATGGAGACGTCAGTAAAAATGGCATACTGAACTCTAGTATTAGAGATCCCAGGATTTCTGGCGTGTCACTGTACTGACGACCAATCACGTGACCAAAGTACTGGTGGGCCACTAATCCTAAACGAAGGTTTTAGAACGGCCGAAACTTCGTTAAAACTGTATTTTTGTGTCAAACAACGTTAACATTGTTACAATCGCCTCACCTTTGATGCATGGCAGATTTGCTCCAGTGGCCGAGTTTGAGGACCCGTTTCTTTCCAAAGAAACCCTCCGGTAGCGAGCGCGCTCGTGCCATGGTCTTCTCTTCCTTCTTACGATCCTTCTTCTCATTTGAGTCTTCTTCGGTCTCGTCTTTTTCGTCAGATTCTTCTTCTTCTTCAGGGTTTTTGGCGGCATCATCGCTGGTCTCTTCAAAACGCACGTTCTTCTTATTTTCATCTTCGCTTGAAGGATCCTTGGAGCTTGTTACGTCTGGGGGAGGTGGCACGGCTGTTGCACCAAGCGGCCGCCCTCCCGCCTCGATCGCCTCTGGAAGGTTCTTCACCACCAAGGCCAGCGTGGGGAGGGTCTGGGCAGTCGCGGGCATTGGAATAGCCGTTTCTCCTCCCTCCGCTTTGTACGGAACCCTCGGCAGCTTGCCCGTTGTCGTGCGACCGCTCTTGGCGTTCAGTTTGATCGGTTGTAGATCGATCGGCTGCAGGTTGCGCTTGTTGAAGGCTTCGGGTGGGACGTCTAGTGCGGACCGCTCCTTCAGCAAGAACTTATCGATGACCTGATCGGTGCTAGGCGGCCAGGAGGGGCCAACTCCGCCGAGTAGAGCTTCTTCCTTCACCGGTCCATCCTTGAACGTAACGCCCTTGGTCTTCGCAGATTTCTGCCTACGGCGTCGGGCGCTCTTGATAGACTTGAGCCGCTTGCTTGCCAGCTTTTGTATCGGCCCCTGGTTCTTTTGTTGTGCCTTGTTACCCGGTGGCGTTTGACCCTTGAGGTTGTCGCAGTGGGCTTCTTGGTAGGTTGACGTGCTGTCTTTCTTCTTTAAGTCTTGGAGTGCCTTTCTGGTCACTAGTCCAAGATCCTAGCAAAACAATAACACTTCATTAGCTTAAGTAACTATATAGTGTTAATTTTGTCATCATATACACGTAACAGAAAGCTTCTACTTACATGTATTGCAAGACAGACAGACGACGCTCTCACGTTTTTAACCTTACATTACCTCACAACCAATACAAATCTGATGTAAAATGGCTATAAACGGGTCCATCAGGAGAAGTAGCCGATGAAATTATCAGCTTTGTAACATAACGGTTTTTATTGGCTATTGGTAAATTGTATCTCTTCCAAAGTTTATCTTTTCCCTCTTTCACCCCATGAACTTCATGTTTTCAAATGGTGCAAGTTGTTAAACCAAGTTGAACTGCGTCTATACGGGAAAACTGTAATATACAAGACGATGTGTCTTTTTAAAGTGCCCTGAACTTCTACAATTCATATTGTACAGTAGTGTTTTACCTTTGCGGCAGTAGACCGTTTGGGCCCCTTAGGAAAGACCTCAAACACAGGGGAGTGGGACCAGTAGGCGTCGTTTTGCGGCCAGGGCGCTTCGGCTTTCTTATCCCTGATAACACAACAGATAACACATCACTATGTGATAAACAATATGACTTTCAGAATAAAAAGTCGTACTGATGAAAAATCACTAGTTATGTCATGAAACCTGATATAATTAATGTCGAAACTCTGTATCATGGTGTTTTCAGGATTTCACAGTTATATAGAAACTATGAATGAAAACAAATGTTGGTTAACTGAATTCCTTTATACTTTAACCGATATACATAACGTACATTAAAACTACATACATTCGCATACCTACAGCACGTGTAAATTCACTTCAAGCGTCCAATTCTAGTACTACATGTAGAAAAAGGCTCTACCTCAGAGGCGTCGCCAAAAAACTTACCATATCAGTTTGTGTGGTGGAGGTGGCAGGCTGCCAAAAAAACAGAAAGAACGACAATCTTAGTAAAGCTACATGCTCTGTTTCCCTTCTATAAATTCGCCTGGTTTTAAATGATATAAATAGTGTCACGTGGAACTAAACTCTTTTCAGAGAAGCAACCTATACGGTCACGGTACGAACATGTGTAGTGTACGTTACGTCGTAACTTTGGGAAGGTAGTCACATTAAACCTTACACTATACGCCTTGCTTGCCCCATTTTTTGAAAAGCCAATGGCTTTCTAAAGACATCGATACGACAGTTATCAGTTTGCATTTAATTAGTGACACAGAATACGCCATTGGAAAAGCTAGCGGTCTCGAACTACTAAATGTACTTCGTCAAGTTGAATATGGATTGTTTGAGACGTAGACCCTACGAAGGACCACAGCGACAATTTTCGTCGCCTGTGAAAACATTTCTTCGCCAGGGCGAGCTATTAGATTTGCGCAGCTTGAGCAGCATTTGGGCCTTGGTACACATCTGAGGCTTGCTTTATGCATAAGATCTAAAAGGAATTCGTCTTAAAAGCACCCAATGCAATTTCATTGCAGCAAAACTGGATTTTAAAGTCAATTTTCTGGTCTTTTTTTAGTGTGTAAGTTGAATCAATCCTGTCCCATTGCATACTGTGAGACAAAAATGTGATGTTCCTGCTGGTTTTGTATCCTAGGCTCTTTCTAGCTCTTTGTGGTGGAAACCCCAAATTAATTTCATACCTTCCAAGTATGAAATGATGACGAAAATGTTCTGATCTGCTAATAAAGTAAAAGATCAGATAAACGCATTTCCTCATCCATATCCATATCATTTGTCGTTTTGCCGCCCTGAAATAACTAAATTATGGAGTCTGTTAGAGGATAAAAAGTAGTACTTACAGTTGGTCGTTGATGCGACTTTCGCTCAGCTTGAGTTCAGTGCGCCTATACGGTTGTTCTGTAGTCTTACTATAGAATAAAAAATAAATACATTACTTTTTCGTGCACATGTATAACGCCTGAATTATCGGTTCGACCAATGAACGCACGCGCTACATACCTGCCAAATACATGCGTCATTTTCCATGGTTAGGGTTAGGGTTGGGATCATTGTGCTGGGCTAGGGTTAGACTTATACGAGATTTACGATTGAGGTTAGGTTAGGTTTAGTCTCACATATCACGATTGTAAACCCCGGCCCCCACCCCTTGTTTTGGGTATATTGGAAACCCCCAGGTAGTGTCGGAGTCATGTATATGGCATGGCACCGGTCTTCTTTAAGTTTAGACGGAAAAAAGTCACAATCTTACCATCTACTTGAAGACTATATATAACTAGAAAAGTAACATTTGCAAAGCAAATGCACGATGTTTACCTTCGCATGATATAGTCTGCTCTGTTAATTCTTACTCAAACACATTCACAAAAATGGTGACAGGAGTATAAATCCCTCCTGCTATAAAGTGCAACATTATGTAACCCAACACCAGTTACCATGCAGAGAGACAGTCTGGTTCAGTCAGGTCAGAGGTCACTGTTTGGAGAAGAAGAAGAGGAAACGTAGCAAAAACAATATGTTTTCCTTCGGTAAACATAATTATAATAGAGTGAGGAACAGACATTTTTGACACTCACTACTCAGAAAAGCCGCTCCTGAAGTGCCTGTGAGACCGTCCCACCGGGAAGTCTTTCATCCGACTCTCTCCGAGGAAGGGCAGGCCGCCGACTCCGCCGTACCGCACGGCGTGGGTCCCCCAGGACTGGGACACCGGCTCCCGCTGACATTGTCTGAAAACATCGGTCAGAGCATAGAGAAGAAGTTGACCACCCTGTATTAGCTCAGTAATTAGAACACTTTGTATTAGCCTAGTATGTGGTAGAGTACCCTTGTATGTTCCTTATGTATGCATGTCTAAGTCAAAGAGTGTATCTTTTGTCTCCACTTTTCTATATACGTTTGTTATGTGTCTGTTAAGTCTTGACATAGCTGCCGACCTAGCCCGTCGTGGCATGAATGTACAATAAAAGTCTTTTATCATCATAACGATATCAAACTCCAAGCAGAGGTTTAGGTTTTGGGTTATTTTTGGCAAACACCGATAAAAAAAGCCTAAAAACACGTCAAAAATAATCCCAAACCCAAACCTCTGCTTGGAGAGTAACAGATATCAATCTCCAAGCAGATGCAAAGACTAAAACAATTCTAGAAGTCAGGGGTCTCCTCCCCTAAAGCTTGAGGCCATAGACCACTGATTCAAGAGAACCATTCCCATTCCCAGAACTACCAATAAGAGTTTAAGGTTTCGATCATCAATTTACCATAAAACGTGCATATACCGTACCTGTAAATGCATCTTTAAGTCTATATATAATTTCTTGCAAAGGCCAAACAGTTGAATTGAGAACTTTACCAGTTCCTTTAGTTTTTGATAGGATTTAGCCAGGTTCTAGAACTGGTCATTTGGTGATGGAATGCACAGACTGTGCATGCATGGTCTCATGCAAGTCTACTAAGGGCTTCTGTTCCAGGGTTGACAAGTTTCGCCGTTCTAGAACTCTCCACTATCTACAAATAACGTTGTACTAAGTACGTGCTCAGCAATTTGGTAGATTATCATTGGTTCTGCCAAAGTCTGCTTAGGACATTTTTACGACAAATTTCTACGACAAACTCACGACAGCCTACAACAAAATGCGACCGCGTCGCAAGACAGCACCAGCACTCACCCGATGGTTGGGAGAGTGACTCGGAACTGTTGTGGGCTCAGTAAGTCGGTAGACAGAACGGTCGGGGAGATTTTCGTCACCACAACCTCCTCACAACTCGGTGGAACGATCAGTCGTGGAACAGTCGCTGTCGGCATGGCTCAACGTTAGATACTTGTACATCACTAGAGACGATGTAGTAGTAGTTCAAATTGCACCCCACAGTTATTTAAATGTGCCCCACTAAGGACATTGTGCTACACCTTTAGCATTATGAGTCATCGTAACGTAATAAACCTTATTTTTCTTTCTTAACAATAACACAGTTAACAGAAAGGTAAAGGTTCAAGATATTACGTCACAAACACAAGGTTGTCCTCACTTGAACTCACTCATGTCTCTCAGCAGTTTTCTAATTTTATCAAAAGAACAAAGGTAGAATACAGTGATTGCAATTATTTGTCCAAGACTATTTTGGACAAATACAAAAATATTCTTGTGATATCTTAATGTTTATTTCAGTAAATATTATAGAATGCAACTCTGGTTAAAGGTAGAAAAAAATTATACTTCTGCAATATAACGTCACCAAAAGTGTTTTATGCATTTTAAAATTAAAATTTTAAAAGGTGTATTGTCTATCACAAACCCTTGGTAAAGTAAGGTAAGGTCTAAGTAGTGCTATGTCAACTTTTAAAACGGTAAGAAATCAAAGTATGCTTTCCAACATTGCTATAAAAGAAATAATCGTAACGTACCTTTTGTGATGGGTGGTAGAGTTAGAGTCCTCATATTCACGCGTCCACCTTGCCGTACTTATAACCATTAATCCTGAACAGCTTGCTAAAACCCTGTACAGTGTGCTACGGTCGTATTCTCCAGGCAGATCTTTCGGTGGTTGCAGTACAGTGTCAACTTGACAAAACAGTATCAAATTGGCCAGGCAATATCCAATACTCCACCCAAGGCTGACGTAAAAAATACCAGTAAAAAGATTAAAAAGAGAGCCCGAAAAAAACCCCACAAAATATGCCGAAGTGTAAAGCTCTGCTTGAAGAGTAGACTGGTGGTTGGTACTTGGTAGGGGGCGGTGTGTCGTGCAGCAAGTCTTGGATTCAGGCCCATCCAGCCATGACTACACAAGATTAGATTACGACAGCAATCTTTTCTCATCCGTCTCTAGGATTACCGTCCTAAATACCGACCAACCACTGCTGAAAGAACCTAATCCATGCCATTCTACTCAAAGAGTAAATCAAACGTAACATTGTAAACATTTATTTTCATTTCTTGCATCGGAGTAAACAATATGTAGATATGTTATACAGATCAGGCGCAGTTTAAGACAAAACGAACTCTTTGAAAAGGTTAGCAAGTTTTTCTTCTAGGATACGTTTTCAAGGCCTTAATTGAATTACCGTCTATTGGTTACAGAATATGAATAGAATACTGCGGTGCCATGTACTAGTGTTTCGTTACATACCTCATTTGCAAACTAGTTAGAGTTTTTTTAGTTGCAACTTAGGAACAGAGCTGTGCTTTGTAAGGTTATACACACTGTTTATTCTGCATTGATACTTTGCAAGTCTTTCTGCTCTTTCAAGAGCTGATTGTTGTTATGAGTTGGTAGAGTTGTTTGGGGTTTGGGGGATTACGTTTCTATAGAAATAAAAAGGGGAAAGATTAACTACTTAAGTCGTTTTTGAAATGTTTATAATGTTAAAGTGCTCTGTAAAAGGACTCGAAAAAATGTTTGACTTTTAACAACTACGTAGCATACAGTTTGCTTATATAGGACCGGTTTGTAAGTGATGACGAAAGTGTCACATCGTTGATTTGAATGTGCTCTGTTGAAAACCGTAGAACACGTAAAAGCGCCATCTGGCGGTTTTGTCACAAACAGCTTTTACGCAAAGTCACACACACCTTACCACCTCTCAACACTTGGTCATATATATCTTAAAGAATGTCTAAACGTAAGAAATTCTTTTAATGATTGTATAAGCGCCTTTTCATCCTATATCACCTAGTATTGTACTACGTAGACTGATTTGTTAGATTTGTTCTCTCATTTCTGCCATACTTTGTACCTTGTACATTGTTGCGTAATAAAAGTCACATATATAATATATGTCATATAATATACACAAAAACACTTTAAGTTTGATAAATGTATGAACTAGAGCAATACAATTCAGTAAATTTAGATAATAATTTTACTGCAATAACAATTGTATAACATACAACGCAAGAAAAGTTGTAATATTTAAAAAAATCATGTGTGGCGGGTACATTCGGTAAGATGTAACAGCTACTGTCTCATTGGTCAAACATTAAATTGCGATGCTATCATTGGTTGAACTGTTAATTATGATGGACAGCCGTAATGATTGTGTGAGGGGGGGGGGCAATTATTGCGCTACGCCCTTTATTACGTCACTGAGAAGGCCTCTTATAAATGAGTTTACTCAAATAGGTGTGTACGGGATATAAATGCACCCCAGACTGAGACAAGAAGTAAATTTACTGTCCCTAAAATAAACATTGTTTTAACCCTCAGAGGACAATACAACTGCCCGCTGAGCTTGAATAGTGAACATGTTTTCATGAAAGAAATCAAAACAATTATATATACAAAACACGAACCGTGCCAACCCCTGCAAAGTTTATGTGTAAAATTAAACAATAACTTGCAATATTTTCAGCGTGTGCACTTATCCTTCAATTTATTACTTATGATATTTACTTACACCACGAAAAAGATCAGTTATGATTGTGAGGCCAATGTAGGTTACGCCCCCAGCAAAAGAGTTTGTAAACATTGTATACGTACGCGTTTTGTTTCTGTATAAACATATCACAGTTCGGCCTAGCAACCAAATTAGGATTATACAAACACTAGAAGCAGTCTGTCTATCAAATCTGACAGAAAAGTCTACAGTGTCTACCAATCTTGGGGCGATTTTTAAAATCCAGGTCACTTGGCACTACGTGCTAGTGCATAGCGTCACGTCCGTTCCATGGTTTCATTGTGACGGGTGCTTTTTGTCTTGGTTACGGGGCTTTGTCTAGGGGCGCCTCAGGTGACCAGGCTTTGTGTCGCCACAAAAGGTGTAATTGTGGCAGGTTGTTTTTAGCCGTCCTAGCCCAGGGTAAAGAGACCTAGAAGCGCTAGCTAGCTACACAGCCTGTGCGTGTGTAACAAGCTCGTACAAAAGCAGCCATGCCCGCGAACGCTACGGTAGCTTTTCCGGACAAGCACGGTACAGAAGAGATCCTGCGCCGAAGCGACCTGTCTAGTGACTCCGGTGGAAAAAACGCCATCTTCAAGCGAATCTGGGAGCCCGTCAACGCCAGCAGAAGGGTGGTGCTGAGTGACAAGGTGTGAAAATTAATTATACCCTCATGATTGTTGCCCTGAAATCAATTCTAAATCAACGTATGGCGCAGTTACATGTTCTAGAACGTTTTTTTTTACACATTTTATACGCGCTAGCGTTTTGATATTTGCGTTCAAGAACATGTGTGTCACAAGTAGACAGATTTTATTTCTATCAGTTGTGTTTTTAAAGAAAAAAAATGTCGTCTGCCTGCAGGGGTCGCCTGACTTCCCGTACGGAAGCCGCTACTCAAGGCACCTCAACCCGTCTGTTTTCGGGGATAGTCTCTGCAAGAGGCCCGCGACTTCCAGCGGAACAGTCCCTGCGGTCGAGATGCACCCCCTCCCGAGGCCTGCCACCACCGGCTCCGGTAAAGTCCACTATGTCAACTCGCTGGCTCCCTTCTCAACCCTGCAGAAGCCGACTTGTGGCTACTACTTCTCTCGAGAGATCGACCAAAAGAAGAAATGCATCGGCATCCCGGCTACCAACATCGTCAAATGGCGATCGTAAGAACGCTTCAAAAAGCTCCCCAGCCATGGAAAGAAGTGCAGTACTTTGTACATATACCTAAACCCCGTCGCTGCTTGACTTTTTGACATGTATATCGTGTTACGACTCTATTTTTAACATGTGCACAGTGTGTATACAGTAATCACTAACAATGACTCTGTGTGTGTATTGTGACATTTTAGTGCACACGCCGAAATTTCTTTCACATTGAGATGCGAAATGCTGCTATATTTTGAAAAAGTTTTACACGTTGCGCAGTCAGTTGGGCTGTGGGAAGATATATTGAGAACCTTGTGGATGATTTTTCACTGTGAAAATATTGTTTCTGTAAGTGTACACTTTGGTGTTCGACTGTTGGTTGAAATAAATCCATTACATTTGATACTTCTGGTGTGAGAAGGTCCTCTGTGGCTTGACAGTAACATATTTAGTTTAAGTTAACCTTCAACCTGCTTAGGTCAGCCATTTGGTACTTACGTTGTATTGGTGCGGGGTTTAATAGGCAGCAGGGAGAACGTTAAATACACCACATGGTATATAGGTAGCGACTATCTCACTTTCTATAGCCCTTGGGCCGCACAGCTGTGCAAGCACTACAGCAAGGAGCTAGTGCACTGTGTATGTTTAACTAAGGCAACAAGTAAATTTTATGGATGACATACTCAGCAGACTATGCGAGAGGGCAAAAAAACAACAACAACAAATGACTAAATACACAAGGGTATGGTATGACAAATAATAATACATTTTCATTTCTTCACATTTTCTTCTTTTCCTAAATTGATTTCGGCATTCTATGACATTAGTATCGTTTTCCAATCCTTTTATTTTGCAACATACGACATATATTCGCTCATTTTGTACGATTTACAGTATGTTCGAAAACTCCCTCCGAATATTCGTCCGTCTAAAACATATCGTTAAAATAGTTTACATATCCGCAATCGATATTAGATATTACTGATTTCATCCGGATGGAATCGTCTTTTTTCATTTTCTTTATCTATCTATCTATTTATATTTTCTTTTTTTTTACTTTTAAAACCAGCTTTATTCAGTATGCGCAAATCATACGACACGTTTCACCAAAAATATAACGCATAAAAACAAAATAAGCGAAAATAGCGGGCTGTGTTTGGTACTGTTATGTTGTCTGCGTTTTAATAATTTGCTTTGTAACAAGGTAACAACCTGTTAATCAATAAATACCAGGATGTGACACGTATACTGTTAGACCACCCACAGATAACACACAAGATAACCATCTGTTTAAAGTTAAAACTTTTGATCAAAAGTTTTGATTTGTTGGATCAAAAGTTTTAACTTTAAACATGTAACTACCAACACAGATGAACTTTCATGATAAGATAACAATCTGTCAACAATCAATACCAGCAAGGACATTGATAATTAAATTTATACACTCACTCTGTGTATAATGTCCTTGATACCAGGATGTGACACGTATACTATTGGGCCACTGTAGTGATAATCAACCGCCCTTCGGCGTATCACACCAGATTCACAGGCATGTGGCACGGTGGCAGCTAGCTATATCACACCGAACGACTTGTTACACTCAATCTTTGCACATGTAATTGCAGGAGTTGTTTAAAGCTACTCTAGTACATGCGCCTACGTAGTATTGGACCACAGTAGTGATGATCAGAATGGCATGTCACAGCCTAAGGATGCGGGTATGTGAAATTTGTTGTCTCAAGTTTGATTTTTAATATTACCTTCCATCTCGATAAGCTGATGTCACATACATGTAACGTTACATGCATGCATGATGTTACACACATGCGCCTACGATGAGACTTTTCCCGCGACGACCGTGCTGTACGTCGCAGATTTGAGACGAATCGTTTACATGTATAGTCATCGAACCCCTTCCTTGTCAAATCTACGAAATACGGCAACGATAAAAAAAAGTCACATTGCGTACACTGGGGATTTACAATGACAGCGTGCCATTGCTTCTTTAATACTTTCATACTCCCGAACACGCAAGGACACCTGGTAACTACCTTCGCCAAGAAGGTTATGTTTTCGTTCGAGGCGTTCGTGTGTGTGTGTGTGTGTGTGTCACGGTGTCTGTAAACTTGAGAAGGCTCCAATGGATTGACGTGATATTTGGAAGGTGGGTAGGTCTTGAGACCAGGAAATGGTTAGATTTTGGGCTACCTGGCGGCTTCTTATAGTGACTGCCGAAGACTAAGGCCGTGTTCATGTGAAGTCAGTGAAGGCGCTTTACATGTGGTTTACCCCGAAGCCGGTTTCAAGTGGCTCCATCTGAACTTCTAGAGGTGGTTTTGAATCGGTTTCCCCGCATCGCGATTTGCGTCTAAACGCAATGTGATTTCAATGTAACTTCGCCTGGTCATGGATTACGGGGTGATATTTCTTTATCTATATGCAATACCAACTTTTACGTGGCAGCAACTTAAAGAGCAGTAATGCAGCAACTTAAAGAGCAGTAGTGCACTTAAGCTAGTTTTTCTGTAAAACAGTGCACTTAAGCACTTAAGCTAGTTTTTTCTGTTTTACAGAAAAAAACTAGCTTAAGTGCACTATGAACTATGTAACACCTTTAGTGCACTATGCACCAAGTAACATCTAGCGTCAGTGCACAGTAAACCAGTCAGAATTGCCCTGATGGAGATGACAGAAGGTCATCGAAACGTCGGCTTGAAAAATAAATGGTTGTGATAAAAAGAACTTTGCTATTCAGTCGTTTACCAACCTGATGAAATTATTTACGGATGTAGCTAATACTGATTTCATCTGGATGGAATCGACTTTTTTCATTTTATTTTATCTATCTATCTATCTATCTATCTATCTATCTATCTATCTATCTATCTATCTATCTATCTATCTATCTATCTATCTATCTATCTATCTATCTATCTATCTATCTATCTATCTATCTATCTATCTATCTATCTATCTATCTATCTATCTATCTATCTATCTATCCAAGGACATTATACACAGTGTGTATAATGTCCTTGATATATCTATCTAATTCATTTTCTTATTTTATTTTTAAAACCAGCTTTATTCAGTATGCACAAATCATACGACACGTTTCACCAAAAATATTAACGTTACATAGAAAACAAAATAAGCGGAAATAGCGGGCTGTGTTTGGTACTGTTATGTTGTCTGTGTTTTTCGCGATGACAAGATAACAACCTACCAGGATGTGACACGTATACTAGTACTAGTAGTATTGGACCACAGTAGTGATGATCAGAACGGCAAGTCACAGCCTAAGTATGGAGGTATGTGAAATTTGTTGTCTCAAGTTGATTTTTAATATTACCTTCCATCTCGATAAGCTGTTGTCACATACATGTAACGTTACATACATACATGCATGCATGATGTCACATACATCTGTATCTGTATAGCCGGTATAACCGCCCTTCGGCGTATCACACCAGCTTCGCAGGCATGTGGCACGGTGGCAGCTAGCTATATCACACTGAACGACTTGTTACACTCAATCTTTGCACATTCAATTGCAGGAGTTGTTTTAAGCTCTCTAGTACATGCGCCTACGATGAAACTGCCGAAGACTATATAAACGTCAAAAGCAAGCTAAGGTACAGTCGTTGGCCCATACAACAGCGCCTCTAGCGGTTGATTGACTAAGTGCAACATCAAACCCAGGGGATCAGTTACTGCAAGTTATTGTCAAAATTCTGTGTTTTGCTTCGTTTCAAAAAGGTTTATCTACAAAAGTTCAGAGGCAGAAAGGATTAGGGGCAATGTTAAGTACAGCTCACCACCAGAAGTGGACGTGGCGCGTCTTCCTGGGCTGAATTTGTCCAGAGTGTTCTTCCTTTCCATGCGCACTCGCCATCTTGGAACGGCGTGTTTCACGCACAGGTGCTACCTGCTCATCATGAGCGTAATCGGAATTTGGTAATTAAGTCAACAATACATTAAACTTTTTAAAGGCACACAAAACGATTTCAGGGCAGTGAAACTTCATTTTCAATTCAAAACTGGTCATTTGTGATAACGTAATAATAAATGGAATCAACCGCATCCCATACCATATTGATATTTTAGAGGCAAAGGCGATGTCACACTTTTGTGTGGAGACCATTTTGCCCGCCAATTTGACCTTCCTGTCAATTTGTGGTTTCACCATCCCCCTCTCACTTCCTGCGACTTTACTCTATGCATTCAAATAACTACAGATACACAAGAAAGCAATTAAAAGAAAGCAAACACACCGAAAGCAAAACAGAACTTCCCGCACACTGAGGTAAAAAAGTCGTACATGGATGACATATGTATGATAAACTAGTTAAGTAATATGGACTCGGTCACTTTGAGCTGGCAATGTCTGAATGTCATGCTGCAAAGACAGTCGGTGAAATTCAACACAATACCGCCAGAAGGCGCAAGTTAGCTGAACCTTGGGAGTTGAACGAAGAAGTTCTGGACGTGGGGACCTGTGCCGGGCTTCGTATTCACTCCGACCCTGCCGCTCCTCGCGGTGCGGACGGCTCCGAAGAAGTGGATAGAATGATAAGGTCCGCATGCCTTATATGGCGTTGGTTAATTAGCTTATTACGGATGAACAATGGCCTCTACCAGGCTTGAGGGCGCGGCTGGAAATAGTAGAAATTGGCCAAATAGAGAGATAACACGCCGAGGGAGTTTAGCCATCCAGTTTACGGTTTAAGGGGCCGGCAAACTGTAAACAGGATGGCTAAACTCCCTCGGCGTGTTATCTCTCTATTTGGCCAATTTCCAGTACTATTTCCAGCCGCGCCCTCAAGCCTGGTAGAGGCTAGATAAACAATGAGAGCGCAGTACATGTAGCTTCCCGTTCACTGCTTTCACACAATGTAAGAGGGTCTGCATGGGGGGCCGGGGGTAGTGATTACGAATTACACAAAATTTTCGCCGCCGATTACGAATATTACTCTACGCTAAAGTCTAGATCTCAGAGCTGATTACGACTTAGCGATTTGCGGCTAATGTCCTATTACGAATCACGTTGATTTTTGCGGAGGCTGCCTACGAATTACGAAGTCTATAAAAGAGGCCCGATTACGCCTTACGAAAAAGGGCATGCAGGCCCTCATGTAAGTTGTAAACCCAAACACAAAGCCACAAGGCACACCCAACCACATAGCCTCAAGGCACACGTATACTCGTAGATAAACCGGTTTTCCGTCAAGTATACGTACGTTGCTGTTGCAGAGTTGGATTAGATCAGTATGCGACAGGCACTATAACTGCACAACAGTCTACAAGAATTAAGCTTAAGGTGAGAAAATTTTCAGTGTAGTCATCACTTCGAAACTTCTATATCGTTGGGAGAGGGTGGTGACACGTACAGTCGTCGTATTTTGTCGCACGATTTTGATGTCGTAGCATTTTCGAAAGCAGGCTTCGATAGAACCAACCGCCACACCCAAAACTCTTAAAAGCCTGTGTGAAACATTCCTGAATTTGGCCTCCCGAATGCTAGCTGAACGCCCGCCGGTGCAAATTTCCGTCTCGCCTTTTTTTCAGAACGGTCGTCGCTTTTCGGAACGGTCGGAACCGAACTACAATATTGCGACCATGCAGTGTAGCCTCCATAGCATGCCAAAAACTAGGGGTTTTGGGGGTCTTCATGGTCTTTTGAGCTTTTATGTGCTGTTTTCTGATTGTATATAGACGACATAGCCGGCTTGGTTGAATTACCCCCGTTTTTTTGAAAACTGGGCTAATCAGAAAACAGCCGAAGACCATAAAACGGCCACAGTTCTATAAGCCTGCTATGAAGGCTACATGGAGTGAGTTGGCGCAAACACGGCTGGCGTCCGGCCAGTTCGGATTCGCGGGGCCTTCGGGGACAAGGACATCATGGTTCACTGGTTTTATCAGTAAAGCAGTCATACAGAATACAACACGGGTATCAGCCCGACCGCCGAAGGACGGAAACTAGTGCGCGCGGGCGAATAAAAAAAATTCCAGCCAAAAATAAAAATGCTACTAAACCACAGGAATACAAAGCTGGCATTGTGAATTTGTAGCAGTACATAGCGACGTATACGACAAGTCGGCACATGCTGGCTTTTTGCGGAATTTATGAATCGGCACTGTTCGTATGTACTGAGTTCTTGAGTCGTGGAGCTTCTGTAGCCTGGGTGCCGTCCTCCAGAGTTACCACCGGCTCCTTATTGTCACTATTAAACTACCATGGACTACCCAGGCCTAGAGCAAGGTTAGAGCCTCAGAGGACGTGATCTTTTTTGCGAGAACAGGCGAAAATCAATGCGCGCGTGGATGTCATCCAAAGAATTGAGTCGGTGTGGCCTTACTGCATTAAAAAAAATATGAAATTTTGCTTTTCTTGGCGAAGAAAACTTGGTAATGGCAACTTCCACTTGTATATTTGTACTCGCGGTAAACTCAAACAAACAAACAAACAAACACCTCCTCTTATCACAACTACAGCTGATCTGTCAGCCATTAGCCTATGACCTCAGCAAATAATCCTAATAGCGCCATTAATTATTAAAGAAGGTCTTATGGCTTATATAGGGCTTAATTATAAAGAACCGTTGTCTGGAGTTCTTCTATATATACGCATACAAATAATCCAGAAGATATTAAAGTAGTCATCCTCAACTGAGGTAAAGTATGATTTTTTCCAAGAAAAAAAAATCGAGGAGAG